AGGGCACGGTGCTGTCCCAGGGACACTCACTATCCACTGGGATTCCAAGGTCACTCCAGTACGTCCGTGTTTTCCCCTAGCGATGAAATTCCTGAGCATTCTCTTCCTTGGGTTAGAAAGCACTGGATTCTCAGCCATCAGCAAACGTTATGCTGGTTTCTTACGTGTATGCACAAAGCAAATTCTGTTTGGTGGTCTGCTGCTTCCTCTCAAGGTGGCAAACACCTTTTTTATTCCCAAGCAAGCTCTTTCAGCCCTGGATGAAAAATGTAATGTAAGGGAAATTAGTTCAACTGCAAAGCAAAGTTCTGCCAAGGGGAAAATTTTCACGCTGAAAGTCTGTCACAAAATATGACTTATTACAATGGGTGAATTTACAAATTGCTGTCCAAACGGTGCTGAATGATGTTAAATATGGCTGTTTAGGGCAGTGCACATTTAATTATTAACTGTTATGATACAATACTGTTATTTCTTCTGGGTCTAATATACTTTTACTTAGTGTACTTCTGCTGTTGGAATTTTCAGGCAGCTGTGTCAGTACAAAGCCTTTTCCTTTGAATATGGAACCAAAGAATTTTATCTTATGTCAGATTTACTGTGCTACAACTATGGCAAAAACCCCTCAGACAACAAACCAGCAAACAACCCTTCCCCAGAAAAATCCCCACAAACCCAAACAAACTTTTAAACCAGTATCAATTTCTTGTGAGTAAAACATTACAGAGCAACATATGAAAAATATATTTACTTTAGCTTGAACGCCCTTCGAAACATGTTTGTCTGTGAGATGGAACGATGGTGGTGTTAGGTTGAATTCCAGAAGGAGAGCCCCAAGATGGAAGCTTGGACTGAATTTCTTTTGATGAAATGGTGAGAATTCAGTGCAATTTTGTACAATTAACTTCAAACTACGGATATGGGGTGCAAAGCACATTAATTTCTGGAAGAGCCATGGGATTTCCAAGATTTTGAATGGCAGCCTTACCTCTCCCTTGCGGAATAGCCTTGTCGGGCTCATAGTGACGCTCTGGACTTCTGATTTTTTTTTAACATGACCAAAGAACTTCGATGCCAATACCAGCCTTTTACTGTCTTCCCTTTCAGGCCTGATTTTCTTAGGTGATGGAATTTCAGCTAATGGATAAAATGACAGATTTTTTCAATATTGCAGTGCAGGGAGCTTGATGTGTGCGGTGGCAGTTTAGACTCTTGGCAGTAAGTTCCCTGCATTTGTGCTTTAAATAAAAACTGCAATTTCTCATCACTATTTCTGACCCTGGAGCAGTGGAAACAATCTGTCCTCACTGAGAAACACTGAAGCTGTGTGGAACTGGAGCAAATATAAATATGGATTTATGTTATAAAGAAGTCGTATATTCTGTCCTTGGAACGAGCAGCTTAGTGTCGCCATGCAGGACAAAGAGGAAGGCGACGGTACTGTGGCACATTTGAGGAGAGGTACCTCTTGTAGCACTGAGTAATTTCCTTCTGCTGAAAGGTACAAAAATTTCAGCTGAGTTTGTCTTCTCCTTTGTAGCTTAAGAAAGAGTCTGTGGTAAATAAACAGTTTTACTGAATCGATGCCCGAACTGCTAAGTCTAAAGGCAGGAAATTTGGGATTGAACAGATATTTTCAACAAAATTTTAAAAATCCTCCTTCTTCCCCATTTTATTTTGAGTCCCTCTATTTTTTTTCTCTTCAAAGTGTTAATTAGTTTATCTATCTTTTGAAAAAGTTGATAATTAATCTGAATAGAAAATAGTTTAAAACAGATAATTTTTTTCTTTTTGATGTTACTTTACGGAAATATTACTAATCGTTAGTGGAATCTATCCAAGTGTCACAAAGACACTGGGTATAGCTACAGCATTGGAGAGGGCTGACAGGGTTCTTGGAGGTCTAAACAGGTGAAGCCAGAGTAGATGCACTTACCTCTGAGTATTAATCTAACGAGACTGCCGCGTGATGTTACCTGCAAAGCTGATACAGACATGGATAAAATGGTTTTGAGAAACTGGTGAGGTTGTGCAAAGTGCCAGAAAGGTTATTTGTGGAGCGCGCAGGTCGTTACATAATGTAGAAGCTGCTTTAAAAATAATGCCTGTATTAAAATCAGAAATAAACAGTATTTTGCTTTGTCTTCTGCTAGGGACTGGCTTGAAGTGCTGAGACTCCCTGTGCTGCCAGCCTTGGCTTTTCCCAGCATTACCAGGGTTGGGTGTATGTGGTTTATGAGCGGTTCTGGTGACTGGACTAGCTTGCTCATTAACTGCCGGACAGCTCATTAATTTTTCAATGGACTCTTTTTTTTTTTTCCTTGCCTTCTAGGTTTATGATGAATGTGACTTGGGAAGGTAAAGATCTGTCCTTCACAGCCGACGGTTACCAGGCGCACCCCAGGCTGGTGGTGATAGTACTGAACAACGAGCGCGAGTGGGAAAAGGTGAGCAGTGCCTCCCGGTAACAGACGTGAGACGTGAGAGGAGGAGGTAGGAGAACCCTGTTCGTGACAAGGAGACAGATTAATGTCGTGGATGTCGATGATACTCTGCTCTAGCAGGTTTGTCACAACAGCTCAGAAGAGATGATTTTACCTTATTCCGAGTAGGTCTGAGGAGTTTTAACAGGGAAAGCAACACATCAGCGAAGATAAGCCCTGTGGATTTCAGAAGATTTCTGTGAAACACACCTTGCGTTCCTTCTTGCGATTTCCTGGAATGGCAGAACCAGTTTGGTTGGAAAAGACCTTTCAGATCATTGAGCCCAACCGTTAACTTAGCAAGGTCAGGTCTGCCACTAAAGCACGTCCCTGAGCGCCTCACCTACATTACTTTTAAATACCCCCAGGGATGTTGACTCCACCACTTCCCTGGGTGAAATACAATTTAGTAAAATAAAGAATAAAGTAAAAAAAAAGATTACTGAAAATCTCCAGCAGCTTGGACCTAACTACCTGTATTTGGATGAACTTGTATATCTTGACAACTCCAGGCCTTTTATTTACTTGTTTGTGTTCTCCTGGTAGGCAAGTGAGCTCAATAAGCCTCTATAGGTCTTAATATCAAGGTTAATCATATATGTGAGTACAAGAAGAAAAAGCTTTTCATGAGTGTTTTTTCTTGAAAACTCGCCCCTCAGTCTGTGATTGTTTTGGCTCTGTGTTTTACATGTTATCCGTGCTCCCATGTTTTAAAACCAGTGGGCCTTAGAAACTTTTTTTGCAATATGAGACGCTGGGAAAATCTGCATCTGTATCACCCACCAGTTCTATTTTAAATTTATAAAGCATTATCTAAAGTGCTGCTGAAATCTGTGAAGGCTTTTTCTTGTAGTTTTAGGATCCCATAAAATCAACATAAAACTCCAATTTGTAATACTGCAAGGCTCCTCATGATGTTGAATAATAATGACAAAATAAGAAATACTGAAGGACATCTCACTAAATATGCTAGTCACGCAAAAATACGGAGAGTAGTCCTAGATTATGCTATGTATTTCTTTACATTCATTTGATGCAAATTTAATTCTCTAGATAAATTTAATCCAATCAAAATATGTCAGTCCGAATCTTTGGAGGAATCTTTTGCTCAGTAGCCATTATGAAAATTTCTTACCCCGTTTTAAAATTCTGTGACAGTCCGCATGTCATATATAATATGCTGGAAAAAAAATTATACTACTTGAAGAATATTAGTATGAGGCATCAAAGGGAGAAAATGGTTAGAGAGGCAGCCAACAATCCTTATGGTATATTGTTTCATACATTTTGCACCTTGAAACTTCTTTAAAGAGACCATTCAAAGAGCGAGGGGAGATAGGTTTGATGTTTTTGAAAAATGAGCTGACTAGCAAAGAAACGGTGGATGCCTGTTGTTACGTTTGAGGGGCTTCAAGGAGGAAAAAAGAAAATGGACTGAAGGCAGAATCATAGAATTATAGAATGTTAGGAGTTGGAAGGGACCTCTAAAGATCGTCTAGTCCAACCCCAGAGAACTGGGGTTCAACATGGAGAAGTCTCTGGGGAGACCTTCTAGTAGCCTTGCCGTAGCTCAAGGGGGCCTACAGAAAAGAAGGGGAAGGACTCTTGATCAGGGAATGTAGGGATAGGATGAGGAATAACAGTTTTAAACTGAAACAGGGTAGATTTAGACTAGATACTAGGAAGAAATTCTTTTCTGTGAGGGTGGTGAGGCTCTGGAAAATGTTGCCCAGAGAAGTTGTGGCAGCCCCCTCCCTGGAAGTGTTCAAAGCCAGGCTGGGAGGAGCTTTGAGCAACCTGTTCAAGTGGAAGGTGTCCCTGCCCATGGCGGTGGGGTTGGAACTAGGTGAGCTTTAAGATCCCTTCCAACCTTTTTCTGGGTTCCTGCCCAGAAAAAAAATGATGCATCTGCTCCCAGGTGCCCTTTAGCTGTAGAGCCCTTTCTGTTGCAGGTCGAGTCGAGTTCCCTGGGCAGAGGCAGCCTGCCCCGAGCTGCAGCTTCGCTGTCTGCTGCTCCCGTGGTAGGGCGATGGGAAGGGGGCCAGGTTTAATTATGTCAGAGGGGAGAAAGTGAAAGGCGGCCAAGAACAGGCTGTCACTACCAGAATTATTCTTCTGACCACAAGCTGATCCCTGCCTCTGCGGATGAAGACAAATAAACTGACTAATCAATTATCCTGGCAAGCTGGATGTAGCTCCCGGCTATCTCGGAGCACCCCACGTTTATATCAGCAGAGCATTACCATGCGCTTCAGAAATAATAGGACAGTTCCTCTGACTTAGACATGTCCACCCTCTGGTTTATTTGAACATTCTCTAGCATTGTCTCAACATTATCAACATTCTTTCTCCTTGCGCTGATTTGCTCAGTTTCAGAGCTGTCAAAGTTATTCGTCTGGGATCTAACATTTCCTACTCGGAGTTTCCAGACAGGCGTATGCTTTTACTTCCAATTACAGTTTGCAATGAGGATCACAGAATTGTTTTTCCCAAGTCTTATTAAATATCCTCAATCCTATATGGAAAACATCAAGTCCTAGAATCTAATTAAATGATTTACTCCTGTGAAAAACTGACAATGCAACAGCCTGCTAATCCTTGTAATGTAACTAATGTACATGGAAATTGCGAGCAGCTACTGTATTATTTATGTAAGAAAGAGTAATTATGGTTTATGTGAGGATTTTTTTTGCCCAGTATTCTCCTGAAAATGTAAGATTTAATATTAAAACTCAGCTTTGGTTTTAGTATAATAATCTGCTTTTACTTATATAGAATTTTTCCTTGGTCTTAAAATTGATATACTTGACTTGAGGCTTGATGTTATAGAAAATCCATTCAACCATAGTTGAAGAGCCTACATCTTTACCCCTAGGAAAATAAATTCCTTTTCCTTTACAAATCACTCAGTATCAAAACTTTGAAGTGGTAACTTTGCATGTAAATGGGGTTGAATGAAGGATTTGTCCCGTATCAGATTCTGAAAAATGCTGGTTGGATGATAACAGTTTGAAGACTGAAAATCACTTTTGGCCATGTACAGCAGGCACCCAGCAAGGTATTTTGACAGATCCTAAAGCAGCCGCTCAAACTTCTGCCATCAGCGTTCGTATTCTTGCTGCAAGTCTTGGCAGGTAGGGGGGCTGCTGTTCTCAGGCAAGAGACTTTTAAGAAGACAAGCTTAGAGTGCTTGTTTCTGTGAGGGGAGACCTCATCGCTCTCTACAACTACCTGAAGGGAGGGTGCAGCGAGGCAGGGGTTGATCTGTTCTCCCCAGTGGAGAGTGACAGGACAAGGGGAAATGGATTTAAATTGCACCGGGGGAGGTTCAGGTTGGATGTGAGGAAGAATTTCTGTGCAGGGAGGGTTGTCAGCCATTGGAACAGGCTGCCCAGGGAGGGGCTTGAGTCACCGTCCCTGGAGGGGTTTAAGAGACGAGTGGGTGTTGCCTTGAAGGACATGGTTTGGTGGTGTTGATAGGGCTGGGAAAAGGTTGGCCTCAATGATCCTGAAGGTCTCTCCCAGCCAAAACTGTTCTATGATTCTAATCTAATATTAAAATCATATGCTAGCCTGCAGTTAGCAGTGGCAAAATTAGACATTTTAATTAGTTCTGTATATAATATATGTTTAGTAAGGTAGAGGGGACTGTGTAGTGTTTAAAGATGGGTGTGTTTCATGTGTAAAGATGAGTTCCAGGGTAAAAACGATTTTTACTGGTGCTCTTAGGTAGATACAGATAAAATTACTATGATGATCTGTCCTCTGGGTGCATTTGTGAGATACAAGTGTCCTGTATTTTTGTAGCTAAATAATTTTCACATGATGCAAGACTAACAGGGTACTACATGGCACAATTGCTAGTTAAATGCCGTTGTGAAAACCATTTCTCGAATGCATGTTTATTCGAAGCGATCATCTTTAACTTGCTATTAATGCGGGATTTAATCTAGAACTTGATTTTGCTCTGATTAACCAGCATATGCCAGATTTACAAGCTCTGTGTGAGGTTGTACATATTTGTACCTAAGTAGGAATGAGTGGGCAGAGGGTGTGTGGTTCCTGCCTGGAATAAATGAACCAAGGTCTTCACAGAGAGCTCCATCTGGCCACTCGCATCCGCCGTCACGCAGCCGACAAAAGACAGCTGTCATATCTAATGCTGTAGCTGAAACTTCCCTGGGCAAGAGCTGAAAAACCCAGCACTTGGTCAGATTTCTGACAGAGCTTTCTGCCAGAGTACTCAGAAAAAGTCACTGAGATGGTAGAGGGTAGTTTCTTGTGAAATCTCAGTTGATTTCAGAGCGGGGGATCCTGCAGGATCCTGATGGCTCGTGACAGACATCCTGTAAAAGTTGTGACAACATGCATATATTCTGACCAGGACAGATGAAATTGCATCATCTAACCATTGATTTTCTAGTATATTAGTTATTCGTAGCTCTGTTCCCTAACATGATACGTTGTCTTTGCCTACAGCACAGACAGCACGTGCTTTAACATTTGCTGGGTCGTCCGTTCCCCTCTTCCATCCTTGTTTCTTCATGTATTTAGTCTTCTTGTAAATATGCCCGTCCTGACACTTAACTGTCCAGTAAAAATTGCATATTTTTTCTGTATCAGTGAGCTTTTACTTAGCCTAAAGGCTTTTCCTTTGACCTTTACTGTACTGAATTGTTTGAATTGCACCAAATATGCAGCATTTCTTAAATCCTGTATTCCCGTGGAGGATGGTTCCCTCCTCTCTGCTGCTGGAAAGGAATCACAGCTACCATGCAAAGCGGTGGTAAAGTTTGCTCCTGTTCCTTCCGGCTCGTATTAGGGAGGAAATTAAAGAGTAGGAAGACTTAGAGGAAAGCTCTTCCTCTCTGGATGGAAAGGTGTGGCTATCTGGAGATTTCTGGAGATATCTGCACCGAGTCCAGAGGTGACAAAAAGTCTTCCGTCCCTGAGGACTGGAGGAA